ACAAAGGCTTCTTTTTGTGAAATGAATGTGCCATTTTCATTCTTACATTCACACAGCAAAGCATATTCCTACATTCTAGCATTACGCTGAAATAATGTGTCACATTGTTCCTTTGGGATATTTGATACCATTTCAAAAATGTTAGCCATCAATGGGTGTTGGCTAAATCACCAAAGGAGCAGTGTTTATTGTGGAATATATAAGATGGTGAATAACCACAATTTGATGAATTCTAACATTCCCAGATGAATTTTTGTCTATCCCTGAAAACTCCCAAGACACATCCATTAATACTGATCATGTTGATCACTGTAAAGTTACCTCTTTAATCTGTTTTAACTGGGACTATCAACGTAAGCAGTTGAAAGGACTTTGCAAGACTTGTGTTTCAATATGAGGATGTTTTCCCTTGTAACTTATACTTGTTTATTTTCTTAAATGTTTTCATTACTATCTCACTCTTCTTCTGTCATAAAACCCAAAGTTCTATGCATGAGTTTTTTTAAGATGTTCTCCCCTCTGGGGATTGATCAGAGCCACCCCTGTTCAACACAGCAAAATGGCTGCTTTATATAAGGTAAAGGTTCCCCTTGACAATTTTTGTCCAGTCGTGTTCGACTCTAGGGGGCGGTGCTCATCCCCGTTTCCAAGCCATAGAGCCAGCATTTGTCCGAAGACAATCTTTCCGTGGTCACATGGCCAGTGCGACCTAGACACGGAACGCTGTTACCTTCCCACCGAAGTGGTCCCTATTTATCTACTTGCATTTGCATGCTTTCGAACCGCTAGGTTGGCGGGAGCTGGGACAAGCGACGGGTGCTCACTCCGTCGCGTGGATTCGATCTTACGACTGCTTGGTCTTCTGACCCTGCAGCACAGGCTTCTGCGGTTTAGCCCGCAGCGCCACCACGTCCCTTGTGCTTTATATACTGCTACCCTAATGAATAAAAATAATAATTGTATGCCATCAAGTCAATTCTGACTTATAGCAACCCTTTCCAGGGTTTTCTAGGTATAGAGAACACAGAAGTGGTTTAACATTCCCTTCTTCTGGGGGTGTCCTGGGACAGTGCAGCTTGCTCATGGCTACATAGGCTGGCTCTTTTCCTAGGAAGGACATTGGGCAATCAACTCTTAATGTCTACCTCCATAACAAGAAAAAAACTTCTTAATCAACAATCTGGAACAAATTCAGAGGACGACAACAAGGATGTTCAGGCACTGGAGACCCAGCCCTATGAAGAAAGCCTGAAGGAACTAGGCATGTTTAGCCTTGAGAAAAGAAAGCTGAGGGGAGATATGATCGCACTTTTCAAATACTTTTTAAATTGTCATACAGAGGAAGGGTAGGAGCTGCTCTCAGTCATCTCAGTGTGCAAGGCATGTAATAATGGGCTGAAGTTACAGGAAGGCAGATTTCAGTTGCATAACTTCCTAACTGTTAGAGCAGTACAACAATGGGACCAATTACCTTGGGAGGTGGCAAGTGCTCCATTGCTTGAGGCACTCAAGAAAAATTTGGACGACCCTCTGTCAGATCTGCTTTGATTTGGGTTCCTGTACTGAGTAGGGGGTTGGCTTGATGGCTTTATAAGTCCTTTCAGACTCAATTAATCTGTGATTCTATAAGTCTATGAGATACCTAAACCATGGAGCTATCCAGCCAGCTGCAGGAATGAGCAAAATAGGCCTGGAGCTGTCACATTCATAACCTCATAACAACTCTCTACTATTCTAATTAGTCTGTAAATCACACATTTTTAAAAAAGTTAGAGGCCCATTATGAACTTGTTTTGTACTTTATTTATGTAGTGCATAAATCTGACACTGGCTGCTGCATGTGTTCCATTTTGTTCTGATCTTGGATGTTGGGCTTTCTACTCTTTGAGAGAGGGCATTTATCCATTAAAATGTGCCTGGTTGTGTGCTGAAAGTATGTGCATTTTTTCCACCTATATGACATTCATCTTGTTTCAATGAGAACAGTGATAAACAGTGACAAAATCTTATACTTCCCATGTGTGGGTTTTTTGTTTTTGGTTCCTTCCGCAAGGCTTCATTTATTTCTTATCTCATTTTGTTCTGTAAGGCAGACTTTAGTGCCTTTAGACGCTTCCCCGTTCACTTCAGAGGTCAGAATCTTCCAATCAGAAGCATTCAGTTATTGTAACTGAATTACACCATTATGAAACTGAATAAAAGTTCCAGGCACAAAAGCACTCACATCTGTACTTCAGAAGAGAAGCAGGAAGCAGGGTTATGTGGATAATTGAATTACAAAATTATAAAACTGAACAAAAGTTCCAGCCACAAAAGCACTCACATCTACAGTATACTTTAGAAGAGAAGCAGGAAGCAGGGTTATGTGGGGGTAAAATATACATATTCCTAGATTTTCTTAGGCAAGAACAGACTTTCAAGAAGTGAATTAGGGGAGAAAAGGTTTTAAAGAGGTGAATTTTCCTAGTGCCATTTACATGAATCGTGGAAAGCCCCACACTCGCGACCAATAGGGATAAATCGCACAAAAAGGGTGGAACTGTTGCCCTGCCTGGAAGAGGCCACAACTGACTCTTTGAATATCTATCATGAGGGAAACAACTGAAGGCAGTTTCTAAGGCAGTCAGTCTTTTGGTTCTGTCTCTATAAGTTAGATATTCTAATATATTAAGTGAAACATTTAAAAAACCAACCTTTTTCACAGATTGTGGGGAATGAATCTGAATTTTTTAAGAGTATTTGAATGGTTTTCTATTGTTGGTTGGTCTCTTCTGTCAAAAGTAACAGAAACAGTTGAATCTGTGGAGTAACTAGTATCTCCTATCTTGTGGCACCTCCTTGACTTTGGCTTCTTGAAATCAGTGAGATTAAAGATGACTGTCCTACACATAGATATCTGGAAATGAATTCAATATTTTACACAAAGGATTCATTGGGATTTATTTCCAAGTGAAGATGGGTAGAATCAAACCATTCAGCTGCAACATGTCATGCAGCTGAGAGGATACTGTAGGTTCTGTTGAATTTAGTGAGGCATATATCAGAATAAATATATATGGGAAAAGATGGTTAGGAATGCTTAGTTTTGCCAGCATGGAATCTTATATGATTTTATGCACATTTGTGTTTTCCTTTGCACAATTTTCTAGTGCCATATATGTCAGCTATGATATATATCTGAGTTTGATTAATTATAGCACATCAGAAAGACCACAGGGCTCTTTTACATTTTGCATGCAAACACATAAAATTGCTGAATGGGGCACATGTTTGTTTGTCCCTTTGTCAGTTTTAAGCAGCTCATGAGAAGAAACAATCAGAATTCAACCTTCACAATGTGACTCACATGCTGTTGACACATAAGCAGGTCTGATCTTTGATTAGCTGGAAGGACTTTTCAAGGTGTGTCTTTCAACAAGAGGATATTTCAGTTTCAAGGATATCTTGGTGGAACATGATAGCAGATCTGAGTGGTAAGAACTGCAGTGTATTCTTTGCTATTAATATGCACTAACCTCTGGTTATAACATTGAGCAAATTTAATTATTGTTTATCAGGAAGCACCTTTTACTGAGCTAGCATGTCTGTTATTGTCTTTCAGAGGCTTGAGAGATTTAAAACATTGGTGGGGAAGGGTGGAATCAAAGCTGCTATTGTTATTCTGGATTTGAAAATAAAATAGTATATTTTCACACATTAAAATATCAGGACTTATTTTACACGTCCTTATTCCACATATACTGTTATTTGGAAGACTTTAACAGCAGTAATTGAAATATGTCTTGTTCTTTCTTGCAAAGTAGAGCATTAATTTCATGTACTGAATGTAATGGAATGATATTGTTTTTTAGCAGAGTATTTGGACTGACTGAAGAAACCAAGAGAATACTTTAAAAAACCCTGTATGACCCAATTGATGTTATTTATTTACCTTTATTTAAACTTTTTAAAATGAACCCACCACAATGAACAGTGTGCGCAGTTGCAACAACTGTACATACTACTGTCTGCAGTTGGATAGGGCTAGAAGGAGATGGGGAGCATCGATAGAAACATCCGTATTGCAATTGCTGCATTTTATTTCAAGTGCTGTATTTTTTTTTTCATGGTATGTTAGTATCATAGCATAGATAGGAATCTCAGATGATTATTTTTGTTTCCAATAGCAAAAAAAATAAAAAAATAGATGTAACATATATGTTATTGCAACAGTTATGAATGATCCATTTTTATTTTTGCAGACTGGCTTTTTCTGTAAGTAAAATTTGAGGAATCCTTTGGTACTAGTCAAGGAAGCAAATCAAAGGAACGGATCTCTCTTTCTCTTCCTCTGAGGTTTAATGTTTTCATGCACTGACTTGATGAACATGAGATCTTAAGAGCCCCTTGAGCCATCTTACTCTTACTTGGTCCATCTAGCTAAATACTGCCTGCTCTGACAGGAAGATCTTATCAGTATCTTAGGGAGACTTCTTTCCCATCCTTTGCTACCGGGTTCTTTTTAAAGTGGAAACACCAGCAATTACACTTGGAACAATTTTTGCTTTGTCTTCGTTTGAGCTGGGTTGTTGTTGTTGTTGTTGTTGTTGGTAGGAAGACTGTCATGTTTAATCAGTGGAGGTATCATGCTCCCCCTTAGATGTGCCATGCTAACCCTTCTGTACCCCATTGTTCTTTTATTAGGAGCCAGCTCCAACACAGCATTCCTTTCTTCCTCAAAGCCCTGGGAATAGCAATAAATGCTGGATGCCACAAGGGGGTGTTGATGTGCAGCGCAAACTGAAAGGAAGGGCTAAGTAAAGGTGAAGTATTCTCTACAAAAGGTTATTGCCTTGTGTCCTTGGATGGGTAAATGTGTTTTCTGCACTAGCATCTGGTTTGGGCATCAAAAATGAATTAGAAAGCTGCCACTCATTTGCATGGTTGAGTTGTATTTAGATAATGTAATTTGCATATCGTTTTCATGAAGCTGCAAGGTACTAAATTATATCTTGTTGCTGTGTGTGGATGAATCCATGGAGGCTGTGGTAAGGAGTTTAGTGGCAAGTGACTGTGTGACTTCTCCTGTGTAGAGGGGGTTGTTTTTATTTTTAGTGACTTGTACTACTCTGTACCAATTTTTCAGGGGAGTGGACCAACCAGTGAATACTCTGAAAAGTAGTGTTTAAAATATGGGGAACGTTTTTTAAAATACCTAAATAGTTGCCCTGTCAACCAATAATTGGTTTAGAAACTAGCCCTTAATCTTTCACAGCTCTTTGAAGAGTTATTATGAGATTATAGCTTTCAAATTTCTCCAGCATGATGGCTGATGGATTCTAGGAGCTGTATTTTGAAAAAAGTTACTGTTCAAATTCTAGCATTTGTATTTGTAGATTACAATGCAACCATGCCATTGGCTTTGTATTAGAGTAGATAAATCCACATTGAATATAATCATATGAAGAGAGAAAATTAGCAGTAAAAAAACAACTGCCCTAAATTGGTCTAGGCTATAAAACAACTGTTTCTTGCAATTGCATCATTGGATTTCTTTAAATAAAAATCACATTTCCATAGAAAATTTGCAAGATACTGCACAACAGAACAATCAAAACAAGTAAGAACGTTAAAGGCACAATTCGATAATCCCCTATCATTTTGCCACGGTGTTTTTCAGTGTTCTTTGTATATGCATAATAATAAACTGGGGCAAGACATTTTTCAAAGTAATATGAATTGTAAGTAATATGGATACCTGTGCCCATAGGTGACTTCTGACCAAGTGGCAGGGGTGCTCGCCATGAAATTTTGGGGTGAGATATGCCCCTATGTGCCTGTAACAAGTTGCTTCTTCTTCTTCTTTTCTTTTTCCAGTAAGTGTGTAGTGAAATTCCAAGATAACAGTATGAGCAAGAATGAAATTCATTTAGTGGAATAAAGTGTCTTTATTTGTAATGCTGTTTTAAAGCAAATTTCAAGACATTTTTGGAGGATGAATTTTTCAGGATGCATGTTACTTTGTTATCAACCTTACCATTGATTTTCCAAGCCAGGAGTACTAATCCCAGAATAGCAAACAATGTGGTGTTTATTTTGATAGTTCAAGGAATTTTCTGGTTGCTCATTTTGCTTCTTAAAGTTGACTGGATGACATCATGGCTTCTCTGGCTTTGGATGCTACAGCTCTAGACAATAATGTTGTGTTGCATCAAAGCCAGGCCCCCAGGTTCTTTAGCCAATGCATTCTTCTCCTCCTGCCCTTCTTTCTTATTAATTTCACCTGGAATGAATGAGGGTTAATGACAGTGAATTATACAGAACAATGATTAATTCATTTTCAAGCATTTTAACAAATACTGGGAATCCTGCTAAAAATAAATTTCCCAAGCTATGACCCAGACTTTCCTGCATGGACTGATATCAGGGTGACCTCCTTTTGTAGTGGTCTAGTAGAGAAGGAGATAGGATGATACTTTTCCATCTGTACATCCTTCCCTGTGCTGCCTACAACAGTGTTCTGGGAAGAGACTTTGCTCCCTGCCCTTTTCCATTTGTGTTTTAAATGATCAGTGACAAATTGTATTCAGAATTTGTTGGCCTCAATTACCCTAATTCTCTTCTAGACCCAGCCCTCCCGAGAGGGCCCTTCTTGTTAGTTTCAACCAACAAAAGCTTGCTTGTGGTTGTGAACACAGAAACAGAGGTGGGATTCAGCAGGTTCTCACCTATTCTATAGAACCGCTTCCTAAATGTACTATGGGTTCTTAGAACCGTTTGTTGGCCTGAGATGAATGAAGGAGGAGGGGCCAGGTGACCAGCAATGAACGAGGGGGAAGGGGCACAATTAACTGCCTCCCTTCCCACTCCACACTGAGCCATCTGAGGTGGGATATGGGTGAGAGAGATAAAGCCCTGGAAAGAGCAGAGGTGTCACTGGGGGAAAGGGGGGGAGGATGAGTCCTTGATGTCACTGGAGGAAAGCCCATGGCCTCGAGGCAGAGGGTGTGTGTAATTGACAAGGCATGAGGACAGGACACAGAGGGAAAAAGTTTTGGGGTGAGACCGCTTCAATCAAACAAACAACCGTCCTCGTTTTACTATGATTTTTTTCAAGTTAAAGGTACCACCACTGCACAGAAATATATGCATATTAGAAGATGTCAGATTGCAAATCATTTGTGTAGTTCAATCTACTTAAGAAATCCTTAAAAATACGTTATAAAAAGGAACACAGTCCACCAGACTTCAACAGCATGTGTTTTAGCTGAAGACTGTCAGTTGCTGGTAAGCTGAAGTAATTATTAGATTTGTTCTGCTTTCTTAAATATGTCTAATTTAATTTGATTCAAGCAACCAGTGATGAATTACCAATCTAACAAAGATACTATGTTGGACATTTATTTAGCAGTTTAGCATTGTGATTTAATTTCTTAATTACTTTAGAGGAAATAAGTGGAAACTATTAAGAGTACATCTGAATTACATGGTCAAATCAGAAGCTGATAAGCTCCGTGGAAGTTTTAATCTAAAGGGAACTTGTGTTTTGTGTCCAAAACATGGAGGTAACCTGTGATCTTCTGTGGACTCTGTGCAAAAATTTAGGTCCATTTCAAACATTATATGGGTGTTATGTGCTGTCAATTAGGCGATCCTAACAGGGCTTTCAAGGTAAGTAAAATAATCAATTAGGTGATCCTAACAGGGCTTTCAAGGTAAGTAAAATATTGAAAAATGCTTACCTCTGTGAGTTTTTCTGGCTGAGCAGGAACTTGAACCCACGTCCTAGTCCTAATCCTAGTGGTTTTATCAGTGCAATGCTTGCCTCTATGAGTTTTTCTGGCTGAGCAGGAATTTGAACCCACGTCCTAGTCCTAATCCTAGTATGTCACTCTATCCACTAAACCACATTGGGTATCAACATTACATGGAGATGTTGGATTCCACAGAGGAATGTCTGAATGCCTTTCAGGGCTCCTGTTTTATACACTCCCTATGAGAGACTTAGAGATTTGTGTTTTATACACACCTGACAAGGAATTTAATTATGGTCGCAGAAAATTTTGTACCTTGCTTCCTATTCATTCAATTCTTCCTTCCTGGATACCCTTCAGAATTTTGACTTAAAAGTTAAAAAAATGAAGCCTTTTCTTCTGTAAAGGATGTGTTTAGCAAGCAAGTACTGTAACCATGTAACTAAAAGCCAAAAAATATATAATACATTGGAGTGTATATAAAACTAAATGAGTATATATTGCAAAATTCATAGTCCTCCATTATATGCTTTTTGCATCTTCTGTGTTATAAAATGCTCCCTATTTAAATTTCTTATTTTTCCTGCCATAAATTTTTAAATTAAAATCTATAATTGACAGAGAGAAAGACTAAATCAGGGCTCCTTGACAAGTGTACCTCCATGATACGTATGTTTGCAGTGGTATGTTGTCACATTTAATTTACAGAAGTTAATTTAAATTTTCTTGGCATATGTGCATTCTATTTATAATACAGTGATGCGAATTTCTGCTTGAAAACACACTCTATTATATAATTTACAGTACAGTACCTGCTCCTTCAGCACTGTATTCTAGAGAACTGTTCATGATTTTAAAACACCCCCTTGTTTAAATGGCTGTCCAGTTTTGCCTTTAGTGTAAAGCACCTTCGATGAGAAGACAGGAGCCTTCAAATTTCCCATCAACAGGGAGGAGCTAGACAGTGGACCATACAGGAACAGAGGTCACCTGGCCATTGTCATTCCCACTATGTTCCTATTTTAGATTTAGCCATTGTTTCTAAATTTGCATCTATGGACATATATTTGCATATGCAAATAGTATGCAGCATTTTGTGCTCTTTTTTCCTTTCTTTTGGGTGTTGTGTTTCCTTTCTTCTTTCTGGGAGGATATATAAATAGCTATTCCAGGCAGGTATGTGAGATTGCAGCCTTCTTGTGTGAAGTCCCCTATGGATGATGAGTGTTCTATTAAACAGTGGCTTTGTCCAGAGATTTATTGAGCCTTTATTTTCTTCAGTGTCTAGCTTCTTCCTTTATGCTTACAACAGTTGCTCTGTACTTTCCCATGTATTTAGGAAAATTCCAGGAAGCATGAGGTCATGAACGCCTTGTGAGATCTTTTCATAGCACAGAAGGAAACGAGCACCAGCAAGAACACTCCATTATGGAAAACAAAAAACACTGACTAGCAGACCCGCTCATAAAATGCAGGCCACATGAGGAACAAGGCAATTGCTTCGTTATGTTTAGGCCTTGCCTGGATTCAAGAGATTAATTTACTCCCTAAATTGCTGCAATAAAGCATAGGGCTTTTCATGATATATTAAGCAAGCCACAGAGATCAAAATATAGAGAATTTATGGTGCATTTCTTTTAGTATCTTATTGAGGTTTAATCTATAGTGCCTAAACACAAATGGCACCTATTCAAATCCACTATGTGTTAAGTGAGTTCTGTGGTGCACAAATATTCTGTTAACAACAGAATATCAAATCAACATGCACAACTGAAAGTTTCTGAGTATTGTAATGTATACGGCACAAATAAACCCTTTCTTTATTGACCATTTTATCTTCTCAGCCAAAATCCTCTGTGCTTAGGGATGTGGTGGCGCTGCGGGTTATATTTTATCTTCTCAGCCAAAATCCAACTTTGATTCAGATTTTTGTTATCTCTCTGTGCTTAGGGACATGGTGGTGCTGCGGGTTAAACCGCAGAAGCCTCTGTGCTGCAGGGTCAGAAGACCAGCAGTCATAAGATCGAATCCACGTGACGGAGTGAGCTTCCGTCACTTGTCCCAGCTCCTGCCAACCTAGTAGTTTGAAAGCATGTAAATGCGAGTAGATAAATAGATACCACCTTGGTGGGAAGGTAACGGCCTTCTGTGCCTAGTCCCACTGGCCACTTGACCATGGAAACTGTCTTTGGACAAACCCTGGCTCTATGGCTTAGAAATGGGGATGAGCACCGCGCCCTAGAGTTGGATGCGACTGGACTAAATGTCAAGGGGAACCTTTATCTTTACCTTTC